TGCAGTAGGGGAAAGGCATCACTAGTTAATAAAAGTAATCAATTTTAAAAAGGAAGCATTCGACAATCACTTACTATATTCAAAGTGGTTCTGATATATAAGCTGGTTGAATCTCACATTCCTGAAATGGCTTTATTTTTTCCCCCACTTTATAGGGGAGGAAACTGAGGCCCAGAGAGGTTAAATGACTTGCCTGAGGCCACACAGTTGGTGACAGTGGCAGAGCTGGGATGCGAACACAACATGTCTGTATGAGTCATGCTGACACCTAAAATTAACCCTCACAGTATCTAAATCAACCAACATTTTCCCTCCCACATCTGTCTTTCTACCCTCGGCCTGTCAGACTCAGTATCCCCCCACACCACCCACCCACCTTCCCCCAACATCCCCTTATCCCCATCCACCCCACCCCCCACCAGGCCCTGCCCATCCTCCTTCCATCCTCTTGTTTTCTGTTTCCACTTGCCTGGGCTTCTTGCTGCTTTTATTTATCTTTATTTATTTATTTATTTATTTATTTATTTATTTATTTATTTTTGAGACAGAATCTCACTCTGTTACCCAAGCTGGAGTGCAGTGGCACGATCTCGGCTCACTGCTACCTCCGTCTCCCGGGTTCAAGTGATTCTTCTGCCTCAGTCTCCCGAGTAGCTGAGACACCTGGTACCAGGTGTGTACCACCACGCCTGGCTAATTTTTTGTATTTTTAGTAGAGACGGTTTCACCATGTTAGCCAGGATGGTCTTGATCTCCTGACCTCGTGATCTACCTGCCTCAGCCTCCTATAAGTACTGGGATTACAGGCATGAGCCACCGTGCCCAGCCTTCTTGCTGCTTTTAATTTCCCGGAAGCACATTTCTGCCTTGTGATCTTTAGTGGCTCCTCATTGCCTGTGGATAAATTTCATCATCCTTGGCCTGGCATTCAAGGACCTTAACCATCCACCCCTTGCCTTCCACTTCTGTCTCACTTCCCACTCTGCCCCAACAGGCGGGCTTGGCTCATGGTCTTGAATACCCACCCACATGTGGGTACCCCTGTGCCTTTGTTCGCCCTGGTCTCTCTGCCTATAGTGCCTTCCACGTCTTCATACATTCCGATCTTCTCCTTCCTCCAGGAAGCCTTCCCTGGGGCCTCTCACTCCTCTGAATTCATAATGATTTGATGAACCCCTCCTTAGCCATCTGGAACTACAGACCCACAGGCATTGTCCTCTGTTGCCCATAACAGTGAATAACCCCTTTGAAGGTGTAATCTGTGCCTCTCTCATCCTTGGTGCCCCTGGAATCTCAGGTATATAGCAAGTGTTCAATTAATGCTTTCCAAATGAGTGAATGTTCATGTTCCTCGTGGTCTCCAGGAAACAGAACTCCCTGTCTTCTCTGTTGAATTCAGGACCAGCCCCATGCAAATTTCGGGAAAGACCTGTCCAAGTTCTACCTACTTTCAACAGCTCTTCCTCCCTCCCTCCTTCCCTGCACGCTTCCTTCTGTCTTCTGAGAATTGTCACATTTCTTCTTGATCAGTGACTCAAACAAAACTGTTTTCCTCTCTTCTTCCATAAAACTTCCTTGTCCTGGGCACCATTTACTTGGTTTACTGCAGCGTGAATGGGCTTCTGGTTTCTGGCAAATTAATTCCAGCTCTGATGTTCATCGTGGATAATGGTGAAGAAAACGAGACATCCAGGGGCTGAACGCCACTCTGTTTTTGAGCCTGAGGATTTTGCAGATGAGGAAACTGAGGCCCAGAGGTGAGGAAAGAGGGACTTAGGTAAAGGAATCTGCTGAATTCTCAGTCAAGGCTCCCTGGGGAACTCTCTGCTGTTTCCTGGGTTATCTTGATCATGGGGATTAGAACTACCACTCTGTTGGTGGTCAGTGCACTTTACAGTTTGCATGAACTTGACCTAAGATAGGCATCTCAGCTGCTCTGTGAGGTTTCACCGAGGCTCAGAGGGGTGGGTTGCCTGCCTTGACCACAGAGCCGGTGTCTAGCAGTGTAGCCAGGGGTGGAATGCAAGTCGGGCTGTGCCACAACTGTGCTCTCCCCACTTCCCCCGTGGATGCCAATGCTCACTGGCTTCCCTACCTGCTGGCAGCAGCCTTGTGTTTATGCCAGACTTGATCTACGGGATGTATTCCCCTGGTTGGAGCAGGTAGCTAGAGAGGGAAGGAGACAGAGCCAAGGAAAAAGCCAGGCCAGGCCTCAGTGAGAAGGACCTGGCCTCAAAGAGCCTAGGATCAGAAGATAGGTGACGTGGGCCAGGCCTGGCTCACAGCCCTCAGAGCTGGGCTTCCTGAGCTGCTGTGGGATGACCAGGGCCTTGTGACTGTCCACTCCCAGCCCCATCCACCACTCAGCCGTATCCTCCCCAACTGGCATTTCTGGGCCTGGACTTGGGAAAGGAACTTTATTTGAGGATGACACACACATGCGTTTACAATGACACATGTTCACACACTGAATCCCTGCCCCCACACACACACAGATGCATGCCCACCCCCACATGCTGCCGACAGTCATGCGCACACATGGGTGACACATGCCCTCCTGAATGTCTCTAGTTCACGCTCTATTTTAAACAGTCTAGGTGGCAGCATCCCATAGTGATCAAGAGCTTCTGCTCGTAAAGCAAATAGGGGTTCAAATCCAGTCTATTTCACAGCTGTGTGTCTGAAAGTTACCTAGCTTCTCCAGGCTTCAGTTTCTCATCAATAAAACGGGGATGATAGCACTGTTAGAATGAAATGGGTGGACACATGTAAAGCGCTGACCACGGGACATTTATATTCATTTCTACTCAGCTCCCACAGGCAGCCTTGGCCTGTGGTCTCAAATGCCTGCCCCCCACTCCCACATCTTGAGTATCTCCATGCCTGTGCTCACCCTGGGCCCATGGCCCACAGCACTCTGCTGCCATCTCCACACACCCATGTCTGCCCCCTCCTCCAGGAAGCCTTCACATGCCCTCGGGTGTTATCAGGGGAATTAGAGGAGAAGCTCCTCTCCCCGTGAGTTATTAGAAGCACAGGCTTCAAAGCTGGCCTGAGAGGTGGCAGACTGACAGAGGGTCCGTGATCCCCTTTCACTGATGGAGAAACTGAGGCCCCACGCAGGTGAGGGTGTGCCTGAGTGTTCACAGCAAGTTAGTGTGGTGTTGGGACTGGAACCCAGGACTCCTGCCTGCGGGTCTACAGCTGTCACCTCCTTCTCAGAGTGAAGACTCCCCCCTCCATGGATCTGTTAGTTAGGGGGGTGATCTGGTTCTCTCAGCCAGTTTGAGGGAGCATGGAAGTTGGGGGAGATAGATGGAGGGAGCATGGAAGTTGGGGGAGATAGATGGAGATAGATGGGGGAGATAGATGGGGTCCCCAGATGAGCCTCTTCAAGTGTGTGATGGTGGGATACAGAGAGGAGTGGGAGATGCTAGGGAGGAGAGGCCCAGAGTGGGGACTGGGACAGGGTGGGCTGAAGCAGGAACCATGGGTGACCTGGTGAGCCCGCAAGGATGGCATGGCTGTGTATGCTGCTACTGAAACAATCTCTGTCGTCACCTCTTTCCTGCAGCCGTTTATTTATTTCTTTATCATGCCCTTTTGGAAAATGCTGGGAATGCCACCCCTCCTGGGGAATGCACCCTCCCCCCGCTCCCCAGTTCACACCGTCTGGTGTGACATTCGTGCTCACCAGCTTGCACAGTGCTAATGACATTTGCATTTTACTGGCTGGTGAAATGTGGGCTGTGCTTGGTGACGGGGGTAAAGGGATCCTTAGGCAGATGGGAGGTTCCCAGCCTAGAAAGAGGGGCAGGCTTGCTGATCTGGGGGCCCACACAGGTCTCTGAGATGCAGAGAAAAGGGAGAAGGTGGGTGCAGAGGGGAGGAATATCTGGCGGAATTTAGAGATGCTGTTTGTCTAAAGGCTTGCCAGGAACACAAGGCAACCCAAGTCTGGTGTTCCACCTCCCCTGACATGCACATGCACTGTCCTCTGCGTCACCTCCTTAACATTTATTGAGCAATTTCTAGATGCCAAATGCTCCTCTGTGGGCTTCACAGACTTATGAAAGTCATTTGAATTCCCAGCAATCCTCAGGAAAAGATGCTATTATTATTCCCATTTTACAAATGAAGAGTCTGAAGCTCTGAGAGGACACCTGACTTGCCTCTTCTGGAAAGAGGTTGCGCCTGTGGCCAAGGTCCACCTGCCTCCAAAACCCATGCTCTTGGCCACTGTGGGCAACTTCCTGTTCTCTGTCTGGGCTTGAGCAGAGCCAGGAAACATTTGTCTGCTGAGGCCCAAGACTGAGTAGAGGTGGTGAGCATCCTCCCCCGTCCGCCGCCACAGCATGCAACAGGCTCCTGCTATGCTCCTGGGGCTGCTCCAGCCTGACAGCTACAGAGAAGGGTTTGGCCCCAGAGAGAGGCCCCAGCATGAGTCAGGAGAGACCCAGAGTTTAGGCCTTGCTCTGCCACCAACTCGCTGTGTGACTTTGAGCAAGTCGTGCCCCTCTCTGGGTATCAGTCTCCTTATTTGTAAAAAGAGGCCATTGGTCTGGCTGCATGGAGCATCCCAGGAATGCATTTTCACACGAGGAAGAAACTTCTCTCCAATCTGTTTGGACTCATGGAGTTGCCTTGCACTCAGACATACAAATTATGTTTTACATCAAAGCAAATCATGAAACATTTGCTGAACCTCCTCTCCCTTCTGCAAGGGGAACTGTGCTAGATGCAGGGGTTATGATGCTTATGTGTTTTTACTCAGCACACGCATACACGGGCACATGCATACCTTTGTGTCTTAGAATTATTTCCAGGCTACTTCAGTCGGATCTAGATGTTGAGTCTCCAATGCTGATGCTCACCTGCAGACTCCTGCAGTCTTGGTTTTATGACTTCGCCTCCTGCAGGGCCAGGAGAGCCCTTCAAACAGAAAGAAGAGACCTCAGCTCAGGCAGGTAATCACGGCTGCCTCTGCTTCCCTCTCACAGGTGAGCATCTCCTGGACAGCGTCAAGCTTCAGATGAGCTGAGCTTCTAATACTACCATCAAAGCAACTGGAACCCCTTGAATTTGATTTCTGGAGACGCGGGCATAATCCTTTTGCAGACGTCTCAACGCTGGCTCTCCAGGTAACGGAGTTTAGGCTTGTTCAGCAAGGGGATTTTTGCTACTTTTGTTGTTGCTGTTGTTGTTGCTAAGGGTGACCATCAGCAGGGCACCTGTCATTCTCTATCATTCATTCTCTTTCATGCATTAGTGTCTGTCTCCCTCATCACACCAAAGGTGCATGGGCAGGAGTGTAAGGGGTGCAGATAGTGTGAGTGGATCTGAGCCAAGGTTGCTGGGGTTTCACTAGATTAGCCAAAAAGATAACCCTCAGAGGGGCCAGACAGCTGAGAAGGCTGAGGTACAAGCTAGCGTACCAGGTTGCTGGCCCATACCCCTCAAGCTCAGCTGGGGAAGGGTGGAGCTGTTGCCCAGGTAAGCAAGAACCAGTGGTGGGTCAGAAGTAAAGGTTGGCTGCAGTGGGTGGTGAGAAGGCAAAAGTTGAACTGAGGTCAGATGCTGCATCATTTGGGAGCCAACACTCAAACTGGATTAAGCAAGATAGGCCATTTATTAGCTTTTTTATTAGTTTCTAATATATTGTCGATATGGGGCCTATTTATTGGTTTGAAGGCAGGCAGGGCTGAAGCCAGGGCTCAAATGATGCTATTAGGACCATGTCTCACTACATCCGTGTCCTCTGCCTCCCTCCTTGTGAGTTTCAGTCCTTGGCAGCCACTCTCCATGTGGCAGCAGGGCAGGGACGTGCAGCTGCAGACTGACGTCTTGCTCATTTCAAATCCAATGGAAGGAGAGCTTCTTTTTCCTAGGAGTTCCAACAAAAATCCCAAAGTCAAGGCTTATTGGATGGTCTTGGGTCACATGACCACCTCTGAGCAATCACTGAAACCTGGAGGATAAGCTATGCTGATTGGCCAGACTGGGTCAGTCCGGGGGTTGGGGGGGTTGTGGGTTGAGTGGGGGGGTTGTAGGGGGTTTGGGGGGGAGTGGGGGGGTGTGGGAGGGCGGGGGTTTGTGCCGGAGGGTGGTAGGTGTGGTGGGTTGGGGAAGTCAGCCTGCATGCATGAGGGGATGGACTTCCAAGGGAAAATCCAGGCATTGTTTTTAGAAAAAGGAGTAAGGAATGCCAGGCAGACAAAGCAGCAGATTCTTCCTACTGGTGTCATGGTGGGAGTCGGGGCGGGAGCAATAAAGCACCCAGGTGGTCGCATGTGCCCCAGTTGGGGTCCTTCCTGTGATTTATGGTACCAAGGTTGGCCTCTCTCTAAGTGCCTCTTTTTTAGTGAATCCAGTATCTGAAAGCCCCACTTTCTCACACACACACACACACACACACCTCCCATGCCTCTGATGGATCTGCAAGTCATACTTCACGTTCCAAAAAGATTGTTCCAGAAGGTCCTCATAAAGAGTCCCTGCACTCTCTGATGGCCGCCCCACTATTTCAGCTACCCCAGCTCCTGGCTGCCTTGAGTAGACCTCCACTCGCAGGGAAGGCCTGTTCCTTCTTCCCCCCACCTCCACTCCTTCTTGACTTGGGGGACTTTCTTGTGCCTCTTTAGGGTTTATTTGCCCTAAATGGGCCCCTTCCCAGAAGACCAGCCGCAGCCTTGCTTCTCCGAAGCCCCTTAGAGGGACAGGGGAGTAGAGGGGGACGGCCACTGGTTGAGTGGAAGCTCTGCCTCTGGGGGCACAAGGGTACACGTGGCCAGGCCAGCCTGGCAGCCCTGCTGCCCTCCACCGTGGCAGCTCTGTCCTGCATTTAGGGAGAGATGTGTGATTTCATTTGAGCAAATATTCCTCTGCAGAAAAAAATACTGAAAACCACAGCTTGTGATGCTGCCTCCCTGGCAGCTGTGGCCAGACACTTTGTCAGATCTGCCCTTCGCTTGGTTTTGGTCAACCACAAACCTCTTGGCCCTCCCCCAGTCTCTCTCGGTCTGTGTCTCGCCTGTGGGCTCCAAAGCTCTGACTCACCGTGCAGCCAGCTCAGCGCTCAGCACCACCCTGCCTTATATGGTGAGCTCAGCACCTCTGGGTCAATGAGTGTTAATTCATTTATTCAGCCAATGGCTGTTGAGTGCCTACCATGTGCCAGGAGCTGTTTTAGATGCTGGGGATTGAGGGTGAGAAAAGCCCAAAGGTCCCTGTCCTCAGGGTTCCCTGCCCTCTCCTCTGGGAGATCTCCTGAGGACAGGACCCTCCTCTGGGTGTCTTGCCCCCAGCCCCTCGCCTGATGTCTCACACGGTGCTAAACCATAACTGGGCTGGCTTGGTAGATACGTCAGTCAGTTAACTTTCTACACCATTTTGTAAAGTTCCCACCTGTGCCTGATGCAGCAGAAATAGCAGAATGACTTGGTTCTCAGCCTTTAGGACTTAGGGTGTAAGGTGCCACTCGTCATGGCCCTGGGGAGGAGGAGGGGCAAGTGTTAGAGATCTGTATGCAGACCTGCTCCTGGAGTGTGCACCTGTTCATAAAACGAATCATACAAGCTCCACTTCCCAGGCATGCTTCATTCATTCAGATGCACTCAACAGGCACCTCAGAGGCCAGCTCTAAGGGAGACGATCAAAGTCAAGACATCCAAGGTAAAGAATGGGAGGGTACAGAGGAGAAATAGAAAAGAAGGCTTGGAGGTTCAGAGGCCAGAAGGAGATGTTACCGCTGCACAGTGGTGGTGTAAAATCAGGGGACGCAAGGCCTGTGAGCTGAGCCTAGATATGGGCCAGGTGAGGACGCTAGAAAGGACATTTGGGAGGAAGACACAGTGAGAGCAAAGGCCTGACAGTGGGACCCTGAGGCTTGAAAGACTGTGCCGGGCAGGAAGCCAGATGAACTCGGTTAGCCTTCTTTCCTGCAGGCCTCCAGGCTTGGCCGTGCTGGGCCTGGGGCCATCTTGTCTTCAAGGCTGCTTTCAACTACAGCTTGGGTGGGGAGTTTAGTAGCTCCTCCCTTTTCCTTTTGTCCTCTTCGTCCCTGGAAAAGGGAGTTTTGGAGAGTCCTTTCAAAGAGATGGTGCTACACAAAGACCGGGAGTTCTCAATCCTCTCATTCCTGAGATACGTTACAGAGCTTAGGGCTCATTTTCACTTAGAGCATTGCAAGCCGCCGACCTAGTGGCAGACCCTGGGCTGGAAGTTGGGAGACTTGGTCTGGGCTGTGCTACTGATGTCCTTAGCCTCCTGGCCTATCGTTTATCAAGCCCCTTCCAGCTTGAGACATTGTATTCCATGTCAGACCTGGATTCGGATCTGAGCTCTGCCAGCAGTACAGCCTCAGTATTCTTATATGTAAGTTAGGGATGATAATAATAGTACACTTCTCATAAGACTGTGTGAAGGTGAAAGGAAATACTTGAATGACAGAAAGTGCTTAACAGAGCACCTGCCAGGGATCAGCATTCAGTGTAGTACTGATGCTATTGGTGTTGTTATTATTTATATTTCAATCGTATTAATATAACTCTGTGGGAGTCTTCAGTGTATAGGTGCCTGTTGGTCCATGTCCCAAAAAACTTGGTGATGGGGGCCAGGCGTGGTGGCTCATGCCTGTAATCCCAGCATTTTGGGAGGCTGAGGCAGGCAGATCGCAAGGTCAGGAGTTCGAGAGCAGCCTGGCCAACGTAGTGAAACCCCGTCTCTACAAAAATACAAAAATTAGCTGGGTGTGGTGGCATTCACCTGTAGTCCCAGCTACTTGGGAGGCTGAGGTGGGAGAATTGCTTGAACCTGGGAGGCGGAGGTTATAGTGAGCCAAGACCACACCACTGAACTCCAGCCTGGGTGACAGAGTAAGACTCCATCTCAGAAAAAAAAAAAAAGAAAACTTGGTGATGGGGTGGGACGTCACACCCCTCCCATCTCCAAATAGTGATGGGGTTGGGGCTGCCTTACCTAGAATCACATTTATTCGTTGATTCACCAACACTTCATTGAGCACTTGCTGTGTGCCTGGGCCTCTGAGAGGCACGTGGAGTCCTGTTGGATAGGATGCTCAGGGTCCCTGCTCTCAGCAGCTCAGGTCTTCAGGCTGAGGCCTTGGGGGAAAATCCCACCCCGGCTTCCCATGGTACCTGAAGCTTTGTTCAACCTTCCCTTGCCATCTTGGGCCTAACTCCTGGGTGAAATGCCAGAGAATCCACTAAAATGAACTGGTCCGGTGTTGCACATGGACCTAAAGGATGGGGTGGATTGCCAAGTCCCAGTTCAGCACCAGGAAAACTGAAGTGTTTCAGGGGGAAGATGGGCTTGCCCTGGGCGCCAATGGCAAAGTCCTGTTTCATTGTCACCCCGCTTTGATGCTTGTTTGGATCCTGAACTGCAAAGGGTTTTGATTATTTCTGGAGGATGCCAAGCCTGCACGTGGAAGGGGGTAGGGGTCCAGTCTGCCCCTGTGTTTGCCTTGCGGTCTCCTGGTGGCTGTGGGTATCTCACCCTCTCTGGTAGCCAGCAGAGCCTGCCATGTGGGGCATCAGCCAGGGGTTGGTGAATGGATGGATGGGTGGAAGGATCACAGTGGATTTTCTAGAATCCATGTTGTCCCAGCCTCAGCCAGGGTGGCTGGAGATACCAATCTGTTGGCTTGTTTTTCCATGACAATTTGATTTTGGCTTCCATGGAATATCAGGAATTTTCAAGTAGTGGAATGGACTCAAAACAAATGGCTTTTGAGCTGATCAGCTTTCTCAGTTTGATTTCAGGGAGGCAGCCTGGTGTGTATTCTGATTTAAGGACCAGAGCTTGCAAACTCCAGCTCCTGGGTGACCTTGGGCATGTTATTGAGTCTCTCTCAAATTCTCGTCTCTCATCTAGAAAATGGTGGCACTAATGGCATCATAGGGCTGTGATGAGCTTTAAATTAAATAATGAGTGTTAAAACATGTAGCAGAGCTCTGGGCACATGGTAAATGCTCAAGAAAATGATGATGGTGTATTTAATGAACACCCTTAAGTTATTTGTTGCATCTTCTTGCTCCCCCACAGATTTTTCCAGACTACTTTGCATTTGTAAGACAAAAAAAATTACTTTGAAAAGTTATTATTACACAAGCAATATAGG